ATTCAATGCCGTCTTCCTCACATTCAATGCTGCCTTTCTTTACATTCAATGCTGTCTTCTTTATCATTAAATGCTGTCCCCTTATAATTTACATTAAATGCTGCCTTCTTTTACATTCAATGCTGTCTTCTTTACATTCAATGCTGTCTTATTTACATTCAATGCTGTCTTCTTCACATTCAATGCTGCCTTCTTTACATTCAATGCTGTCTTCTTTACATTCAATGCTGCCTTTCTTTACATTCAATGCTGTCTTCTTTGCATTCAATGCTGCCTTATTTACATTCAATGCTGTCTTTCCTCACATTCAATGCTGCCTTCTTTACATTCAATGCTGCCTTCTTTACATTCAATGTTGTCTTATTTACATTAAATGCTGCCTTCTTTACATTCAATGCTGTCTTCTTTACATTCAATGCTGTCTTATTTACATTCAATGCTGTCTTCTTCACATTCAATGCTGCCCTTCTTTACATTCAATGCTGCCTTCTTCACATTCAATGCTGCCTTCTTTACATTCAATGTTGTCTTCTTTACATTCAATGCTGTCTTATTTACATTCAATGCTGTCTTATTTACATTCAATGCTGCCTTCTTTACATTCAATGCTGCCTTCTTTACATTCAATGCTGCCTTATTCACATTCAATGCTGCCTTATTTACATTCAATGCTGCCTTCTTCACATTCAATGCTGCTTATTCACATTCAATGCTGCCTTATTAACATTCAATGCTGCCTTATTTACATTCAAATGCTGCCTTATTTACATTCAATGCTGCCTTCTTCACATTCAATGCTGTCTTCTTTACATTCAATGCTGTCTTATTTACATTCAATGCTGTCTTCTTTACATTCAATGCTGTCTTATTTACATTAAATGCTGTCTTCTTTACATTCAATGCTGTCTTTATTTACATTCAATGCTGTCTTCTTCACATTCAATACTGCCTTCTTTACATTCAATGCTGCCTTCTTACATTCAATGCTGTCTTATTTACATTAAATGCTGCCTTCTTTACATTCAATGCTGTCTTCTTTACATTCAATGCTGTCTTATTTACATTCAATGCTGTCTTCTTCACATTTAATGCTGCCTTCTTTACATTCAATGCTGTCTTCTTCACATTCAATGCTGCCTTATTTACATTCACTGCTGTCTTTTTGACATTCAATGCTGCCTTATTGACATTCAATGCTGCCTTTTTGACATTCAATGCTGTCTTATTTACATTCAATGCTGCCTTCTTTACATTCAATGCTGTCTTCTTTACATGCAATGCTGTCTTCTTTACATTCAATGCTGCCTTCTTCACATGCAATGCTGTCTTCTTTACATGCAATGCTGCCTTCTTTACATGCAATGCTGCCTTCTTTACATTCAATGCTGTCTTCTTTACATGCAATGCTGCCTTCTTTACATTCAATGCTGCCTTCTTCACATTCAATGCTGCCTTCTTTACATTCAATGCTGCCTTCTTTACATTCAATGCTGCCTTATTTACATTCAATGTTGCCTTCTTCACATTCAATGCTGCCTTCTTCACATTCAATGCTGTCTTATTTACATTCAATGCTGTTTTATTTACATTCAATGCTGTCTTCTTTACATTCAATGTTACCTTATTTACATTCAATGCTGCCTTATTTACATTCACTGCTGCCTTCTATAAAGTATTAGATTCTAATATTTTCTAAATCTCTTATTTAAACATTACAAAACACAGGTTTGCAAGGAGAAATTGTATCATTTCTGAGACTAAATGTGTCTTTAACTGCACCACAGAGATTACTTTAAAGTTGACTGTATATATGACATAGTGCAAGAGTAAATTAACCTTCAAGTGCAATTTGTCATTTATTACAGAGATTGCATATTTGGGAATAATTTCACTGTAACCAAATCAAATTATTCTTAAACCTGCTCTATCAAAATTTTGAAATTGGATTTCAAAATTACTTCTTTACTCCTTTTGTTTTAAAGCAGCTTTACAATGGCATAAATCGAAACTAAAATTTTTTCAGTAGATATTAAAACATTTGCAAATTTATATTATTCTATAATTCTTTTCTACATACATGTACCTTAAATAACTTTACATCCAGTGGAAAATGCAAATTTATTTGTTTCTGAAGTATAATGTGCCTTTAAATTTCATGTTATATCCAATATGTAACTAGCAAGGTTAAGGATAATTTCTATGTGTATCACAATTTTTTTTTATTATTATTTTTTTTATTATTGTGGATTGTTCATGGAAGTAAACTTTCACTTCAGTGTTGTTATATTTTTCTGGTCATTCTGGATCATTGATTCCAGCAAATCTAAAAGTTGAAAATTTAGTACCGCTCAAGCTGGTGCTAGGGGGTGTAAGGGATGTTGCACTTTTTCATTATCCCTCATGTACAAACTCAATCAAACTGAGTGCAATTTCCGTGATATTTTGTTGTGAGCAATGCTTCCAAAGCATTAAACTTTTTTTACAGGATTTCTTTTTTTCTTTTTTCATTGATTTCAAATTTCCAGTATAAAAAAAAAGTAAGTAGCTAAATTGTGTCAAAGAAAACCCCTAAAGATCTGTAACCTTTTCTATTCCTTCTCCTCTTAGCAATTTTAGCCAGTTTACATTGCCAGATAGCTTTAACAACTTATTCTTAAAACAATTTTTTTCAAAATTTAGTCACTAAATCAACCAGATAAATTACTAAATTGCAAGTTTATGGTAATATAAAAGGAATGCTATGGGTGCAATTTCCTATCATTCATAAACAAAAGAAGAAAAAAATTATGCGCAAAAAAATGCAATATGGATTTTCCCATTATGCGCAAAAAAAATGCAATATGGATATTCCGATGTTGTGCTATCTTTCATTGGTTACATTAATGATGCCTTAGAGAGCAGTTATAGCACATATTATAGGCAGACAGTCATTAGTTGTGTGAAATACTCAATCATCAATAATTTACCCAGCCTGTGGCAAACTAAAAATATCACTAAAACAATATATTACTAAATATTTCATTTCAAAATTTCACAAGGAAAGTCATTTTAAATGTATGAATGTTTTGCAAGTAAGTGCTTTTGTTTATTTTGATAAGCTACTTCCGCCTTTTTTAAAATAATATGGAGGTTTGTTAAAGAAAACTAGTTGTAAAGTTAGGCCTTCAATTCTAAGGAAAATAGGAGAAAACTAGCTCTATTTATAGAAACTAATATTGTTATTAGACTTTATAAGTGTTGGTTTGACAATTCCATTAACAAAAAGCAGTAATATTTTCCTCTTGAAGTATAAATAACATCATGTGATGGTAATCAAAATTCACAGAAAATATCATTTCTACATTTGTAGGTTTGTTTGTTTTGGTTTAACATAACATCGACACATAACTGGTTATACCGCGCTGAACACTATAATTGTTAACATAAGACCATTTCTAGGTAATTTCTCATTCCCATAAATACTAAATTTTATATGGACTTCCCTTGTTCTAAGTTTATAATGTCCATTATCATTTAACCCTGATAAAGCTTCATGCCATACAGACTACAAAACCATTTATATTTTTAAAGCTGCACGCCTCCAGATGAGCCGAAATATTTCAAAAAATTAAATCTTTAGAAAGATGTATTAAGATCTTAAGAAACGTAAATAGATTTAATATTTAATTAATTATTTACATGTTATGTGCGGTTAATGACTGATTTTGCAGTATCAATCACTATAATTCTACTGCGTTTTCTACTGTGTTACTAACGCAGTACGAGGTATTTAAGTACCGGTACATTTTGACCTCCTTTTGGTTATTAATGTGAATTGTAAGTTCCGTTTGCAGTGTGTAAATTACTTTCTTAATTCACTTCACAATATTTTACTTATAAATACATTTTCAAAATTTTCATGAAAATTAGCATGAATCTGGAGGCATGCTGCTTTAAGGGAAAATTTCAAAAAAAGTACTTATTAAATAGACTAGTGAAAAGTGCAGACCAAGATCATTATGGTCTGTAATAATAGCATGGGGTAGATAGCAGACTAAAGGTAAATCATTTGGTGGATCACATTTAATCATGCTACAATATTTAATCAACCATTTTGAATCAAAAGTTTATGTCAATTTATTCCAGAACATATAGTATATAAGTCAATACAAAACAAGAGTTGTCCAAACAGCAGCTTGCTTGGCTATTCTCAGTGTTTGATAGCAAAACAAAAGGCTGGATAAATGTAAAATTTTCTGAATAAATGTAAAATTTTCTAAGTTCAAAAAGGAACATAATTCTGTCAAATCCATGTTAGAGTTATGGGTCTTGAGTGACCTCCTATTATGTGTTTCCAAAGTGTTTAAAATTTCAACACATTCCCTTCAACAGTTTTAGAGATACCAACTTTCACCAAAGTGTGACACTGATGCCTGGGTAAGTACAATAGTCAAGCTAAAAATGTTAAACATTAACCTAATGGTTTTGAGAAAATAATATGCCCAGCTTTTGATCTTTTCAAAGTTTAAGGTATTTGTAAAGCAAAATACAACAATTGAGCTTTTTGGGTTTTTTTGGTTTTTTTGTTGGTTCTCTATTTTACTGCGCACGAACACAATTCAACAATTTAGATCATATAATGCCATAACAGGAAAGTTGATTTTGACTAACAAACTTCAAGCAACAAGATGACTGCTGAAAAATTATAGTACAACAAATGTTGTTGTTTGAGCAATTTAATTTCTTTACCTGTAAAACTTAAATGATATTTGTACTAGTAAAGTGTGGTATAAAACAAGAATTTGCACAAAGTTCTTCAGACCTCATAACATTACAGTGACCTACCAGTCAACACCAAACAATGAACAGATCTCAGCCTTAAGCTGAAGTCTTTTAAATATTTGCAGACACACTCTTTTTGAACCTTAATTCGTATAATGCTAGTACCCCCTTGATGTTATATACTGTTCATAAAATAAGCAAGGAAAAGCACTTGATAACACACAAAATAAGGAACAAACCTGTTCTGTTTCTACATAATTAGCACAAGCTCCTGTTTCATCAAGACCCCTTCTTTTTGATCTTGTACCTATAAATAGATATGTTAACCTTTACATTTTTATATTTGATTATGATTTGGTAAAAAGACTTAGTCTAAATCAATGTTAATATCTATATAATTATAATTAATAAATAAAAGAGTCTTGTAAAGGCAATTTAATCCATTTAAGCTTAATATCAACAAAACACACAACCGTATCAGTGAGATATTTGTTATATAATTCACTGAATATCACTGATGATAATGATGATGATGTAAATCCCTCTGAAGTTACAAAGAAGATAGAGTAAACAAAAGCACTGCATCAGGTGTTAATGCTCACTTCTATCAACAACAATTTTTTTTAATTTAAAAGGGACATAACTGCCATAAAAATTGCTTTCAAGATAAAGCACCTTGTCTTACATCTGTGCATTCTCATGATAATCAAGTGTAGAAAGTTCCATGCAGTTCTCTTTCATAGTTTTGGAAATCATTCTACATAATAAGCAATTTTAACAAAAATCTAATTTAAAAGGGCCATAACTCTGAAAACATAGCTCATAGAATAATGGCCCTTGTCATATGACATCTGTGCCTTTTTTATGATTAACAAGTATTTCAATGTTCATGCTGATAGGTTTCAGAGTTTAAAATCTGGCAATTTTAACAAAAATTCTTAGTTTAAAATGGGGCATAACTCCTTAAACTTAGCTGTCAGAAAAATGCCCCTTGTCTATAAACCGCACCTTGTATTGATAAGCATATATTCCAAGTTTCATGCTGATACCTTTTTACATGTTACATTAAAGTTTTGGCATGACAACAACAACAACAACAACAACCAAGAGGAAAACAACATTGACAAAGCGATCATAAAAGCTAGTTGTTTTCATCAAAACAGAATCAAAATGACCGAGCACCACCGTGAGTAGGACAGTTCTCCAGATACTTTGTATATTCAAGGTAATCAGTGATAAAAAATACTCATAAATTTTGATTACAGCAAATAAAATGAAAAGAAGATATAGAAAGTCAATTTACTTTTCAAAAAAAAAATTGTTTACAGTTTATTTCTAGAACTTAATCAAATTTAATGATCAAACTTGATTGGAAATTTTCATCAGTGTTAATTAAAGATTGATGGAAAACATGTTAGTTTAAATGAAACGTTTGAGAAAAGGTTTAATGGCGACATTTGAAAGTTATCTTCACTGAATAGTTCTTTAAATGTTTATGTCACGAAAAATAAATCTGATTCAATAAATTACATTCAGCAATTAATTGGTATAATTTTGCATCAATCTAGGCAAAAGCATTAAATGTGTTAAACATCAATGCAGTGGAACTGCCATAAACATTGTTAATAAGATATTTAATTGCATTAATCTAAAAATTAAACTGTAATGCCATACAATAAAATGCTATGCTCACAATAATCATCAATCAAGGATATGATAATTAAGTCCACAATGTTTATTTGTTTGGTTTGATTTCAGCATCAGTATAGGGTATTACAATGGCTGGCCTCGCAGCCATGATATAAAGATCACTGCTATTGTATTCTACACCAGTACTGACTCAGTGTTAATACGGCCCTGTCACACTAGACTGCATTTGCACGGCATTGTAAAATTTAACAAAGCGCCACAAGATCGCAATAAAAAATACAATATTTTTTGATGACATGGACTCTTCACGGTGTTTTAACTGCGTCTTTACGGCGTTTATGACGATGCTACTGAGCTTCCACCACGTTTTAATTGGCGATTGTCTGCATTCAGAATGCGCTTCTACCATGTTTTTTGTGCTTCTACTGCGCTTTTACGGTGTCCACACTGTACTGAAATCAAAAAGCTCAGCAAAAGTGCAGCAGAGACGCCACACAATCTCTGTACAAGCCCCATGGATAACCACCTCCTTCATTCCATGTTCCTTTCACGCTTTAACAGTGCTCCTGTTGAGTTGTAGGAGATGCTACTGAGTTGCTACAGCGTCCTTACTACGATCCTATTGCTCTCTTATCAGAACGCCAAGTGATGGTGTTTGTTTTGAGCACGTTCAAAATGCATGCCGTTGGTCGGCGTTCTATGCGATGCCACTTCGATACTGTGGCAATGTTTGCTATCTTACTGCACTCACCTCGGCGTTCTGAATTTTCTTTGGATGACGTGAGAAAGCCACCCTAGTGTGACAGGGGTATAACATAACAAGAAATCAACATACTGGTATGTTTGTGATGAAGCTATAAATTGCCATGATTACAGAACTCCTGACTGTATGCATATTCTTGCCTCCTATTTCTCCACATTCAATATTAACTCTCTTATTAGATTTTTAACAAGTTAACATACCAGTTGGTGTCATAAAGTCTACCTTTTCACAACATACTTTTATTTACTTGATTAAAAGACACATATTTTCCTTTCAATTAAGAGGGTTGTACTGTATACCCTGACTTATAAATGTATTCTTCACATTAAATATTTTACAATACTGCTTGTTTGTAATGCACTTTTCATTCGATAATCGTGACGTTTATATAGTTTTATATAGGCGGCTGTTGTTGATTCATGAAGCAATCTTACTTTTATCTCTAAAAAAATGATGTTTGCTGTATTATAAATTCGTTATAAAGATTGTTGACACGTTATATGGCCGTATATAAACGGCTGTTTGCAATATAACCCTCGCCTAGCGGCTAGGGTTATATTTACAAACAGCCGTTTATATAGGGCCATACCAAACCAAAATCAGGCCTGCGACAAGCTTGTCGCAAGCTTGCCGCAAGCTTACAGCTTAAATACAAGGTTGCTGCATGCTTGCAACAAGCTTGCGCAAGCTTGCGATGACTTTTGAAATATATTGCAAGCTTGTTTAAAATTCATGCAAGCTTGCAAACATTTGATGTAAGCTTGCAATGCCGCAAGCTTGCAATTAGTAGACACTTAGAATATTTTGTACAAATCTACACTTAGAAATTTCTTGTTAAAGTAATGGAAACACTTAGAAAATTTTTGTCAAAAGTGTACACATTAAAAAAAAAATTCCAAAAATGATAGTATCAGTGATAATTAACTAGTTTAAACTAGATTACCAAGCTAAAGTTTATTATTAGTTATTAGTTATTTTATATATTCAGCTCAGTATTGTAAATTTATGAAGAAAATATAAAATCATCATTTATTTTAATGCAAGTTAATGTAAATGATTTGAAATTTGACACTTTATACATTTCATGTAGTTGGAAAAGGGTATCTCAGAAAAAATGTCTGTGCAAAAGAAGTAAATGAATTGATTGTTAAATACATATTATTATTTCAATAAATCTACATGAAGTTATGTACAATGAAATAATATCCATTTAATTACAGGCTTTAAGTTTAACTATAAATTAATTAAAGTCTGTGATTCAATCATTCAGACACTATAATAATCAAGATGGGATTGCATTGCTTGCCATTTTTAAATTCTAAGAATTCATGTTTTTGGATAACAATAAATAAATAAATAAACAAAACAAAAACAGTGCATGAAATAATCTCATATATATTCTATATTGAATTAATCAATATATATTGCTTTTATTTAGGAAAATAAATACTGCATCAACTGAGATTTTACCTACACACATCAGAGCTTTGATAAAATTCATTGACCATCTGTGCATGACTAATTTACTCCCTGGTCATTCTGACAGATCAGGCTGTTCAGTGTGATTATTTTGGGGAGAGATAACATTATAAATTTCATATGCAGAATGTGTCTAGAAGGACATTGCAATCTTTTTGTACAAAAATTTGTAATGATTTTAAAAATCTATATATCTAATAGCTATTTGATATTTTCTTTTACGCTCAAAGAATGAAAGTTAAAATGATGAGTAGATTAACCCTGCTTTACATACTGATAGACCTGTCCAGTTTTACAGTAACTGTTGTAAAATTTGAATTCTAAGATATCTGGGTCAGCAAAGAGAGCAAATTACAGAGGATGTACTTTATATTTTAGCAGTTTTGAAGATATTGTTTTGTTTAAGATTTTAAAGTGTTTAAGTATTGGTATGATAACAATCAGAATCACCTGGGACATGGAGATATACAACAGAATCAGGTATTTATAAACACAGGTAAACGTTGCGTGGCCATGACTTACACTATACCCCCGTCCCCCCTCTACAACCCAAAACCCTAAAAAAAATTATGAAAAAAAAAATTTTATGACTAAAATATTATAATATTTTAGTCATAAATTTTTTTTTTTTTTTTTTCATAATTTTTTTTTAGGGTTTTGGGTTGTAGAGGGGGAACGGGGGTATAGTGTAAGTCATGTCCACGCAACGTTTACCTGTGTTTATAAACCTTAACTACATTAATGCAGAAACAGGTTATATATCAAACTATTAACATTTGTAACAAGAGATCAAGGTTGTTTTTATATTTTCAACTTTATGCATTTGTTTTTCTGATAATTCTTTTTAATCTATACATGTATAATCTTTAGAATATAAATTATTCAATGATTTCTTTTTAATGATTGTTTATTATTGTTTAAATGGCATGTTAGTAGATCTTTTTCATTTCCTGCAAATTAAACAAATTAAATCAATTTGATTAAATAGGACTAAATGGTACAATCAGTAGTTTTGTACAGCTGAACAGGGTCAATCATAATCATTTAATATTTTACATGACTTGTATGTGTTGTGTTTTCAATTTACATTATACATAAATAATTTGCAGGCTGGGACATAAGTGCTGACTGTGAGAAATAGCGGCAGTGTTTAATAATGATGTGCAGTATTAATCCTGAAAAGGTATATTAATAAATCTCAATACTTTTCTATTCCACATCTTTTCTTGAATTAATACATACTGGGTAATAAATATTGTCACAAATTTACTTAATTCTCATACAGAGAAATTCTTAAACATTTGTGCACATTGAAATAAGATATACTGCATTGCTTTAGTATTTTATGAAAATGCATAAGTATAGTTAATATTTAATAATTAATACTGTTGAAACATTAGATTTGATGTTATTAAAAGATATGAAATATAACTGCATTTATGCAATAAAACATATAGTTCATTATCACATCTGTGTTTAATTAATTATGAATTTTATCTTTAAAGGTGAGCACAACCATAAGAAGTTCTAGGAAACACAGGCAGAGGACTAAAAATGGACACCGATAAAAGAAATAGTAATTTAAATAATCAGAAACATTTAAAACAAATTTAAGATTGAATAGTTTGTCGCTGACAGACTAAGAGCAAAATAATTGCTTAAAACAAAGTGTTGGATTCTAAGAAAACAAGAACCTACCAAAACATGCAGCTAGAAAAAAACTGTTTGTGTTATAGTGAATGTAGGGTGTTCTATTCTGTATTTGAACAAAAGGATATGTATTAAATTTTGTGAAAGAAATATGTGATCATGTTAAACTCATAAAAATTCTACCCCAAACATTCTTGTGCTGAATTCCATCCCAGAATTTTACATTTTAAGAACATTCAGGGATGCTGGAATTAGGCAAGCTTGCAATGTTAGCTTGCGATTTTGGTTTGGGAATATATATAACCTGTCAACAATCTTTATAACTAATATTATAACTATTATATATATATGTTGTAAATATTTATGGGCCGGAGGCTTAAGACTTATCAATGAAATAAAAAAAAATATATTAACACTTTTCTAACATTGACAAAAATAAATTTCACTCTAAAACCTATATCATTTTGATATATATATATACACTGTATATATATCAAATATGTTATATGTTCAAAAATACGTACTTTCAGCAAACAAAAAAAATAGATTTTCTTGTTTGTATGCCAGTTTCAATGACTTATACAGAACATCATCACTTATTTCATGGTAATGGCATATTTTTATGTGACCAGTGTTAAAATTGGTCAGAATTGACATATTTTATTCAAACACCTAACAACAAAGTTTTTTTGCAATATATTTTAAATCTATAGATTTTTACGTAAAACAGAACAACATTTTACAAACTTCTGCAAAAAGCAACAATAGTCCGTTAAATTTGTGCATACATCTGAAACAATGATCATTTTCTAAATGTTCTTGTTTGTTGAAAAAATAAATTTTGAGTTACAATGATACTTTAAATATTTAAAACTATGCAAAATAACATGTAGAAATTTTAACTGAAACATGTAAAAACTGAAATAAAACACCATTACTGCGATTTAAATGATGACATACTGTTTTCAAAATGGCTGACATATGGTCTACGTCTGGCTCATTTAAACTGATTTTGACTAAATTTATTGTTGTTTCCTTGTGTCATACATTAGAAAATACCTATATATTACAGCTTATGACAATTTTTGTACCATAAGTTTTATGTGTTGTTTTCTTTCTTGCTTCAAAGCGTTAAGTACTGTAAACTAAGAGGAGCACAGTATATATGTATTTCCAGGGAACAAAAAAAGCAAAATCTGAAGACAGAATATCTCTTAAGCAAAGCAGACAGGGTGACCAACATTTTTTGAAAATCTTCAGGGGTTTATTTTTTTCTGGCAACAAAATCAAAGTTTCTCTTCCTTCGGGAATTTCTCTCTTTAAATTAACGTCACGACATAAGACTAGAACAGAAGGAAATAATTTAAGTATTACGTGATTGTTTGAAGAACAGTACACTTACTTTAAGAATCTCATCAATTCTCATTTTCAAAAGCAGACGTACAATTGCTCATATATAAATATAAGCTAAAATGTCCTGATCAAAGCAGACGTCCGTTGCAGAGAAAATTATAGACATAAAGTAGCTGAGCTTGCGAAGTCGTAATTCATTTTTCATCAGATATCAATTCTGAGAGTTAAACACCAGTTTTAAGCTAACTTATCTTTTTCTTTCATTTTGAAGTTTAATCTCTCAAACTTTATAACAGGCGATAGGCTTAGAACAGAGACAGATTACAAGCTGCTTGTTTAGAACATTCCCAGAATTAAATGCAATAAGGTCGTAACTCAAAGAAACTAAATGCACAAGTTATGGAAATGTTGAAATGAACTCTTGATACTTGTATCTCACTTTATCTGTCTTTAACAACTGTGGTGTCTTAACTTGTAACTTTAAAAGCTGCTGCACTTAAATGCAATATTTCTATTATTTATTTCTATATTAAAATGTCCAATCAGTCTACCTATAACCATGATTTATGGGAACATATCAGTAGACATCCAATTATTTACTTTAAAGTATTAGAATGTCTCCATTAAAATTGACAAATCGCTGTGAACAAGGGTTTAAAGAAATGCTTGACTGTCTGAAATTTTTAAAAACCATTTTTAGTCTCACACTGTCTTACTGTGAGACCATCATATGTTTCGTGAGTTAAACCCATATTGCTTTCAATAATTCTATTCATGTTATGCACTGATGAAGGCTTCAAGCCAAAACATTTGTATAAAATGATTACTAAATTTTCATGTTTGTGTAGCTTTTTTTAATTATTTACTTAAAATTTAAATTACATGTATGAATACAATTATAAGTTCCCCTAATGATATTTAATATCTTGTCACAAGATAAAATACACAAAATCATGCCAAGTTTATTAAACTATGCTCTCTTATGGAACATAATTATACTAACCTGCACTTTATAATTATGCTTACTTCACATGAACATAAAAGTCATGCTATTATATCGCTATGATTCCATTTCTTGATGTTTGTTTGTTTTAACCCTAAGCAAATCAACGCATCTTAAGGTAATGTGTAACCAACACTGAAAAGCCTTTGACTCTATCTCAATCCATTACTTTGTAATCAGTTTTGATGGAAAAATTCAGCCCAAAAACATGATTTTTGGCAATTTGAGATGTCTCCTTGCCATGGTAACATGAAATTTAAGATTGAGCATGTCCTTACAAAGGCTATGGTCCAGTAAACATGTGTGCCAAGTTTCATCAGTACTGAAGTTTCATAGCAATTTGAACTTGTAACAGGAGGCATTTCAATGAAAAAAGCCATTTTTCACAAAATGCTTATGGGGTAATGCCCGGTTTATGGTTTTCAGGCTGATTTATACACATTCTTTGGTCAAATCTAAGCAGTCTAGGCAGTTGATACACCTTAAAATAGCATTCCTAGATAAACAAGCAATTATCATAGTATTGCAAGCAATCCATAAGTCCCCTACCGGTTAGAACCCCATCAACATTCTGAAGGGCCATTGGCCATTCACTTATGTTTCAATTTTTCTCTATTTTAAGTAAACTTGTTGGAAAAGTTCTTTAAAAGTGATCACAGGAAACAGTTTTTATGAACAGACAGACAGACGGACTGAAGGACACTCTAAAGTTAATATTTGAAACATCCCTGTTACCAAAATATAACATTTTAAAAGCAAAATTCTTAAAGAGGAGATAACTCTTGAATTAAAGATGCAATTTCATAAAAAATGTTCAGCTCTTTTTGACTAATCACAAATATTGTTATATTTGCCATGTTTTAAGCCTATTTGTTGCCAAGGGAACTGATATTTTTTCAAAATAGGAAGAACAGATAAGACATGCATAATCTCAACACTGCTATCTACCCATATGTCAAGTTTCATAAAAATATTTCCAGTACTTTTTGAGTTATCACTGGATTCAGTTTATGTGTAAAATTTTCCATATTTTGAGTCTATGTGTTGCCATAGCAACCAGAATTTTCAACATAGGAAGAAAAGAAAAAGACGTGCATAATCTCAAGACTGTCATCTACCCATATGTCAAGTTTCATAAAAATATTTTCAGTACCTTTTGCTTTATCACTGGATCCAGTTTATGTGTAAAATTTGCCATATTTTCAGCCTATTTGTTGCCATAGCAACCAGAATTTTCAACATAGGAAGAAAAGAAAATGACGTGCATAATTCCAAGACTGCCATCTACCCATATGTCAAGTTTCATAAAAATATTTCCAGTACTTTTTGAGTTATCACTGGATCCAGTTTATGTGTAAAATTTGCAATATTTTTAGCCTATTTGTTGCCATAGCAACCAGAATTTTCAACATAGGAAGAAAAGAAAAAGACGTGCATAATCTCCATACTGCCATCTATCGGTATACCAAGTTTCATTAAAATATTTTCAGTACTTTTCAAGTTATCGCGGGATCCAGTTTTGTGGACGGACGGACTGACGGACTGACAGACAGACAGACGGACGGACAGACGGACGGAGGGTAAACCTAAAGTCCCCTCCGGTAAACCGGTAGGGGACTAATAACCAGTAATTACCAATTTCTCTGCAAGTGACCGACTCCTAATTTCACATGATTTCTTTTTTATTATTTACATTTTTTTTTGTAATACTTATTAACTAATATTTATTTAAGCTGTACTTTCTGAAAAAAATATAATACTTACCAGCTCCATGATTCCTGCCCTCATGTATATTATTTCTTAAAATTTTAAATGAGCCACGTCACGACAAAACCAACATAATGGGTTTGCGACCAGCATGGATCCTGACCAGCCTGCCCTGATGATCCACGCAGTCTGATCAGAATCCATGCTCTTCGCTTTAAGTTTCTCTACTTGTTATAGGGTTTGTAAGCAAATAATACAATTCTTACCTACTGACCGCAAGAATATCAAAATTATGTTTCAAAATCTTTTGGACTGCTCTTGCAATATCTACAAAGACTTGTAAGTAATTGTCTATTTTTTTTTTTTTTTTTTCATTTATTTTATTTTTTGGTTGGGTTTTATATTGCACCAAGGCAGTATAGGTCATAGGGCATTTTTACAGCTTACTAGTAAAGGAAGACCGCAGGTACCCTTCCGTGAGTAGAATCACCGACATTCCATATTTAACTAGCTTCCTCCCATGAAAGAATCCAGAGTCCCCTATCAGGATTCAAACCAACAGAAGTGAGGGCCAAGTTGTTTTGAAGTCAACGACCTTAACCACTTGGCCACGGATGCTCCTACGCTCTCTTCTGAATAAGAAACCTACAATCATACTCACCAGCCCTATGTCTGCTCCTCCTAGATATGAGAATCATAGTATATGAGATGGGGTCTTTGGCTGGTTTTGGCATGACTGGGCTTAGATCTTTACTTGACTCATTGAAGTCTAGAACACATGACTGGATATCTATACAACCTTGAACAACTGGAAGGATCCAATGGCTGGCAAGTTCAAGCTGAAATAAATAGAGGATATTGAAAGAATAAAATTATATTGTTTTATTAAACTTGATTAATAAATATAATATTCTTTTTTATTTCATATCTAAAATATGAACAGTTTACAGTCATCTAAAAAAAGTCATTTTCTAAAGCACAGCATTAACATAAGCACTGACATTAATGCTATGTTTGTATATATTGCAAATGACGCCATGTCAAATTGTTATAACTCTAGTGTAATATCATTTTTTTATTAAATGGCTTTATGACACTCCGCACTTTGGTTTATAAGGTAAACAATAAATACACATCTAAAACTATAAATATATCATAACTGATATAGTAGTATATGAAACATTAACTCCTGGAGTGGCACAGCCACGAGTGTAATATGAACTTTTGGCATTCATAAGATGAAATATATTTCGATTTTACACCAAACTAAACAATTTTCTTTTTATTATAAGCAAAGAAACGTTTAAAAAAAATTTTAACCTAATACTAAATAAAAATCGCGCCAAATAATAACACGACAACAGGTCATTAAGTTTGGTTTCTAGTACTATAATGCACGCTGGTATTTCACTGAAACAAGGTTAACAAGCTTAAATTCAAAACAGTGAAAAATATCAAATAAATAATTTCACTAATATCAGTTTTATATTTCACTGATATATTTCTATAAAACACTGATAAGCATATAATAAATAGATTTTATAAATCTCACTGTTACAAAAATTTAGCTTTTTGTCTAATATGCCATAAAAAAAAGTGTAATTTCTGTATATATGCAAACAGAGATCACTTTCAGGTTAAATGATGTAAATGTAAATCAGACATCAATATTTAGATCATGACTGGGAGGAAAAAGGCAGCAATTTGACTTGGCTATTACCATAAATAAGATTTAATGTGGTAAGAGAAAAATGTCCCAGACTAAATGAAATTAGATATACAATAAGCTCTATTGTTTTATGTAAACGATGCAACATGATCATGTCTCATTAATCACAACTGACCAAGTTCACTGATGAACTTTTCCAGACAAAACCTCTATCATAATATACTGTACATTGTCAAACATCTAAATTTTACTGACTTACAGACAAAACCTCAACCATACCATACTGTACATTATCAAACAGCTATATATATTTTACTGACTTACAGACAAAACCTCAACCATACCATACTGTACATTATCAAACAGCTATATTTTACTGACTTACAGACAAAACCTCTACCATACCATACTGTACATTATCAAACAGCTATATTTTACTGACTTACAGACAAAACCTCTACCATACTCTACTGTACATTATCAAACAGCTATATTTTAGACTAACAGACAAAACCTTTACCATACCCTATTGTACATTATCAACATATATGTGAACTTTTTTCGATGATCAAGTGGGAGATTTTTCTTCAAAAAGAGTGAGATTTTAGAGTTTGCAATAAACAAAGTAGGAAGTTCTGACATCAAAAATAGGGAGATTTCTTTAATTTGTGTAAATACCCCTTTTTTTAAGAAAAATCTTTACTGACTATATATAGACAAAACCTCTACCATACACTACTGTACATTATCAATTTAAGAATTTTCTACTATTAACACAAATGGTAGAAAACTCATCTTACACCATCCGGAAATGATGTCATATATTCCAACACATTTATGAAAGAGTTGCATACTTGGACACCGCTTTCTACTATCAAAAAAATAGTCTGATATCTATATGCTATGATTAGAAAAAAGTCAAATAAAAACTTACTTTTCATTACTTGTTGTTGAAATATATAGGATATTTTAGTTCGGTGTAAGATCAGAATATATTTCACTGAGTGAGCACCAAAAGGTGGCGCAGCCACGAGAGAAATATGAACTTTTGGTGTTTAGGAGGTGAAATATATTTCAATCTTACACTAAACTAAACAAATTTTCTTTTTATTATATGCAAAGAAACGTTTAAAAAGACATTTTAACCTAGAACTAAATGAAAAGCGCGACAAATTATAATACAATGTGACGTCATTTACGACATCATGTCATTAAGTTGGTTTCCAATACTGCACACACTGGTATTTCACAGAAACAACGTAACAGGCTTAAATTCAAGACCGTGAAAAATATCAAATTGATAATTTCACTGTTTAACCAGTTTATATGTCACTGATATATTTCTATAAACCACCAAAAAGCATGTAATAAAATCTATATACAATATGCAAGAAAATGAATAAAAACCATTGTTGCCACAGACTGAAATACATGTGTCTAGCTCTCATGTAACTGTTTAGCAGACACTCGGTAGAGCCTCAGTACTGCCGTTATGAGTGAGTTACCCTCGAGCTAAATATTCTGGTCTGTACTGTCAGCCATTGTAAGATTTTTATATTCTACAATACAGTACAAAGTTAACACTACATACTGCCCTTGCTTGCACAGAAAATGCCTACACCATATTTTACAAACATAGACACTTTTCACATTTAACTATAAGCAGACAAGAGACTGGTAATAAAAATTAAATAATGAAAAAGTGCATTACCAGACATTCTTTATTACAATGGTTTGCTATCGGAGCAGACACATTTAAATGTAAACAATACAGAACCTAATGGTTTCATTTCACAGATCAATTGATGAAGAATTTAAGAGACTTGTGCATTACTGGACACAGACAGCTGTAACATTTTATGACCACATCTGACCACATCTCATTAGTTTGTGACAGGAATATATCCACGGTGGTTAACTACGACCACAAGTTCGGGACAACAACGTTTGCTGCAGACGACAGGATGGACAGTTACGCGTATTTAATCATAATCATATCTTACTTGGTTTTAATTTTCTGCTTACTGAAACATTTAAAAGCCAAAATACAAGGAAGCAGTTTCAATGGTAGTTCATTCATGCTCATCAAGCATAAGTTATATTTTGTTTTGGTTGAGTTTTAAAGGGAGACACATGCAAATTTTTCATTTCTTCGATTCAACATTCTGTAAATGTCCTCGAAATTAATACACTAAGCAGTCACAGGAACAAAACTTTTCTCTTTATAAAGAATAACATGGTGGTTTCCCAACTTGACCCACGTGGGTCAGTTTAAAGCATTTAGGTTTCACAATAGTTGTTATAGAGAACTATGAAAACGTAAAACGTAAAGTACCTGTCAAATAATTGACTAAGATTTGTTTAAATCTAACATTATCCACAATGTCTGTTATTGTAATTTTTCCAGAGTTTTTTCTAGTTACATGACTTGTTTTAAAACTACTCGGTGACTCTGTAGGCATCTTAAATTTCGTTTAACATATAAAGATATAATTTTGCTTCAAGCCCAAAATATATACATGTAAATATAAACTAAAAGCATTTAACATAAAATTTGAATTTCTTACATAAATCGACTGGGACACTACTGTATGTCAATTTTAAAGGGATGCTCTATGCCTTGCTCTTTCTTAAATGAACAACTAACTCTCACCCTATAAGTAAACTAAGCTGTAAACACAAAGAAAAAATGATAAATAGATGAACCTTAGCTGCCTATTTACATTTACTTTTATCATTACTTTGAGATTATGTAAAAAGTAAGTATATTAAAGGAGCTCCACTGACGTCAAGATTTTAAAAATAAAATCTGAAAATTTTTACATGTATCAATTGAAAAACTAATATTGCAACTCTTTTCATTTTATTGTCATTTTGCACAATAAAAATGATTATTCTGGAAAACAGGGTGAGGGAAAGGATTCTTACAATTTGCACACAAGTTTTGGTCCAGACCTACATCAAATGGTACTTAAATCTTGGAAATCTGTTTCCAGTCTCATCATGGCAAAAAACCTCAGTAGAGCCTCTTTAACAAACAATCCCCTCAGGATCTTATAAATATAACAAACAATTTAATGTAGTCAATTCCAATTCCAATATTAAAACCATCGGATACGTTGTTGTTTTTTTTTTGCCACAAAAAAAATGAAACCCAACAAAAAACACTTGACGATATTGTGAACATTTCATTAATTTGTCTTCCTCAATAACACTGAGTGCACTTTACAGCTGTTCTTAAGATTTATCGAATTCCCATCACTAGAAAATGTCATTTGCATTTATAACACAAATCTTATTTAAAGCCGAGAAAGACAAAATCTAGATGTAAGCTTGTAGAGCATGTGACACCCAATATAGACAAATTATGGCGACGGGAACATGGTGTCTCAGATGATTTCCCTATCAATCAAGCCTCAGCTGATGCAGAATAACTAGACCTCCGCAAAAATAACGATCTTACTATTCATCACTAGAAGTCGCATTTCATCACTAAAAGTGGCATATAGAAGGGTTTTATGCACAGTTTTATTCAAGTTGTACTTCCTTTATTAATGCTTTTTTACTCATGAAGAAACAAGACAAATTTGGGAACGGTTTAAGAGGAATAAAATGAAAATATTTTTAAGTCTAAAAACTTGTTTTTAAAAGAAAGAAGTTTCAGATTCACCAAAAAAATTGGTACATCGAAAATGGATACATGTTAGAGAAAGGACTAACCAGCACCATATCTATTGGCTTAAAAGATTTTTGATTTTTTCCTTTTGTTATACACCTAGTCGTATTAGTTGATCACAGAAGTCAACAGTAAAAGACTTTAATGCCTTGCCTACTATTAACCCTTACCAGGGTAATTGTCTTATATGGACTTGCCTTTCTTTCAATCTGGACAAAACCATTTATCAGTTTTTAGGGAAATTTTCTGAATATGCAGTGATGTGCTGACTGTTCTTGGTCTGTACATATTCTGTACTGGTCGCAAAACTATTAATAATCAGTTAGAATAGATTATATTATCTTTTACTTGGGACTTTTTAGGCAAGAAAAGGGAAGGGAAGACAAGACATGGCAAGGCAAGGCAAGTCAAAGGCAAGGCAAGTCAAAGCAAGACATGGCAAAAACAAGACAAAACAAGGTAAGGTAACCACCAGCACTAAAAAAACTCAGATAATTTTGTTTTCTTCAATATATGCAGTACTTTAGAGAAATGTTATTGAATGATTTTAAACTGCCATACACAGTAATTACAAGCATCTTATTTTATAGCCAAGATTGACATTTTTACAATAAGCTGCTTGAAAACGTGACATTCAATATTGACAAAATGATACACAGGGAGAAACAGGGTGTCTCTTACAATTTTTCAATCAATCAAAACCATGGTGAATTCATATCCAAATGCAGAAGGAAATGATGTATCATTTCTAATCAAGTAACAGTAGTATTAAGGAAATCTGAAAATTATGTTATCCTACTAATACTCAGTTTTCTTTTGTTTGTTTTTGTTGTTTTTTGGTTGTGGTTTTTTTGGGTTGGGTTTTTTTTTGCTGTTTTTTTGTTGTTGTTGTTTTTTTTTTTTGTTTTTTTTTCAGGGTGGGGGTGGAAGGTTTTTTGGTTCAAAACAATGGTCTTCCTTTACAACTAATACAGGTTGTATTTGAAATGTGTTTTGTTCTCAAAACACAATAAAGTTCCAAAGTTCTATGCTTTTCAAGTTTATTAACTCTGTATTCAACTATCTATTTGAGGCTTTTTCCAAGCTATTTACAGGCCTCTTTAATCCAGGATAATCAGACTGGACTGTCGACACCCCCCCCCCCCCCCTCTCTCAAAAAAACTCAACTTTTTTCTCTTCTTTTGAAAAAAATATCATATTATTTTTCCAAAATTTTAAAATTTAAGAGAAGGCCCCGAGAAAGTTTCCCAATCTGTTAAAAATCATACTATCATATTAAGATATAATATTACTAGGGAATTGTGTTATATTCAAATTTGGTCATAAAGCAATTTAGTGACTCTACCTTCACTTTGGTTTGGCGCTATTACTGACACATTAACTTGATCTAGGACAGTCTGTTTTTCTTCAAAAGGTTTTTTATTCTTTTATTTTGCCTTTATTTTATCAGATATATCACAATGTTACTGTCTCAATGGTAAGAATCTGATGCACAAATTTCTGCATTATTTCAGGCATCAATTGACACCAAGGAATGGTTTCCTTACACAGAAAGAAAATTTACGAGGCAAAATTCTAACAGGTAGGTAAAAGTCACCTAATTTCATCATTTTTTGATGTTAGTAACTTATAAAGAATAATTTTCAAAATTTCAGGAAAAATAATGGCTGTTACTGAATTCAAACTGTCTTTTTATCCAATATTTCTGTTATAAGTCTCTCAACAAAAAAAACACCACATATTATGCTTGTTTATACAAATAATAAGTTTACCGCAAAGTTATGTAACAAATAAGAAGCAACCATTGCATTTATCATAATCATTAAAGTTACTTTTTAAAGGAAAAGAAAAAGATATTGACATAACTGTAACACTTTTTTTAAGTCTTATCATTTTATTGAAACTTTAAATGTATGCCTTAATGTATATTAAAAATATTTCCTGTTTCAAGATATAAATAGATAAAACAAGAGCTGTCGGTAGGACAGCACGCTCGACTATTCTAAGTGCTTGATAGTAAAAGAGCCTTAATAATGTTAAATATTCTAAGTTCACAAAAGGGCTATTTTTTTATAATATATAAAATTGTCCCAAAAAAGGCACAAACCCTTCAGTAGTTATGGAGATAACAGCTTAGAAGCAAAACTTTACCATGAATTTTTTAAGTTGAAAAAGGGAAGAAAAATCAGCCTAAATGCAAGATAGAATTATGGATCTTTGTCAGTGACCTACACTTATGACCCTAAATGTATGTGTGAAGTTTTAAATAAATATCTTTAATAGTTATTGAGATATGTAAAACTTGCATGTAAACATTAACCAAGATACTAAGTAGAAAAAGGGATATGAATCAGCCTTAATGCAAGATAGAGTTATGGAACATGGTCAGTGACATACAATTATGACCCTCAAATTATGACCCTAAGTACATGTGTAAAGTTTCAAGTAAATATCTTTGAAGACCTTTAACCTTTAACCAAAATTTCTAAGTTTCAAAGGGGCATAATTCTGTCAATATTGTAGGCAGAGTTATGCAATTTTGCAAAATGATGTACATTGTTACTATAAACAAGAGCTGTCAGTAGGACAGCAACGCTCGACTATTCTTAGTGCTTGATAGTAAAAAAAATGCTTGATACAGTTACCTCTTCCTGTTAACAGGTTGGGGTCATGATGGTGAACAAGTGTGCAAAGTTTCAAAGCCATATGTCAATGGACTTTGAAAATATTTGAACTATTACAAAAACTTTAACATAAATTCTAAGTCGAAAAAGGGGCATAATTCTGTCAAAATGCTTGATAGAGTTACCTCCTCCTGTTTACAGGTTGGGGTCATGATGTTGAACAAGTGTGCAAAGTTTCAAAGCCATATGTCAATGGACTTTGAAAATATTTGAACTATTACAAAAACTTTAACATAAATTCTAAGTCGAAAAAGGGGCATAATTCTGTCAAAATGCTTGATAGAGTTACCTCCTCCTGTTAACAGGTTGGGGTCATGATGTTGAACAAGTGTGCAAAGTTTCAAAGCCATATGTCAATGGACTTTGAAAATATTTGAACTATTACAAAAACTTTAACGTTAAATTCTAAGTCGAAAAAGGGGCATAATTCTGTCAAAATGCTTTGATAGAGTTACCTCCTCCTGTCTACAGGTTGGGGTCATGATGGTGAACAATGTGGCAAAGTTTCAAAGCCATATGTCAATGGACTTTGAAAATATTTGAACTATTACAAAAACTTTAACATAAATTCTAAGTCGAAAAAGGGGCATAATTCTGTCAAAATGCTTGATAGAGTTACCTCCTCCTGTTTACAGGTTGGGGTCATGATGTTGAATAAGTGTGCAAAGTTTCAAAGCCATATGTCAATGGACTTTGAAAATATTTGCACTATTACAAAAACTTTAACGTAAATTCTAAGTCGAAAAAGGGGCATAATTCTGTCAAAATGCTTGATAGAGTTACCTCCTCCTGTCTACAGGTTGGGGTCATGATGGTGAACAAGTGTGCAAAGTTTCAAAGCCATATGTCAATGGACTTTGAAAATATTTGAACTATTACAAAAACTTTAACATAAGTGGTTACGCCGACGCCGACGCTCGGGTGACTGCAATAGCTCTACTTATTCTTATCGAATAGTCGAGCTAAAAAGTATTGTAAATTTCAATTGAATATCTCAAGCAATAATTAAGATATTTGACTTTACAAAAAAACTTTAACCAAAATTTCTAAGTTTCAAAGGGGCATAATTCTGTCAATATTGTAGGCAGAGTTATCCAACTTGTCAATCTGATGTACATTGTTACTATAAATAAGTATTGTAAGTTTCAATTGAATATCTCAAGCAATAATTGAGATATTTGTCTTTACAAAAAACTTTAACCAAAATTTCTAAGTTAAAAAGGCGCATAATTCTGTCAATATTGTAGGTAGAGTTATCCAACTTGTCAATCTGATGTACCTTGTTACTATAAATAAGTATTGTAAGTTTCAATTGAATATCTCAAGCAATAATTGAGATATTTGACTTTACAAAAAACTTTAACCAACGCAGACGCCGACGCGGACACTGACGCCGACGCCGGGGCGACTACAATAGCTCTCATATTCTTCGAATAGTCGAGCTAAAAATGTCTATACAATAAAATACCAGTAGTATCTTTCAATTTAATGTACTACGCCTGGAAATTCACGATGACTCTCTTTCTTTGTTTGTTTATTTTTTTCTTATTTATTTTCTTCATCAATTCTATACCAGACAAATCAAATAACTTCCGGCAATAAACAAACTGACATTAACAAAAAAATACATTATTTGGATAATGAACAAAAATTCACAATGCTTGAAGTTGTGACAGGTTTAACTAAGGCTGATGATTAAATGCAATAGATAGTACAACAAAAAACAGCCTTTATGTGACAATAAAGTTTTGCCTTTTCCTGAACATAACTGACATTTTATGGTGTTGATAACGAAAAGATTGCAAGATTGCCATAGAGAAACATCAAGTTTTGTAATGAAGTAAAAAGATGCAACATGGCACTCATGTTCATTGAGAACTTGACTGTTTTGGTATCTAAGGGAGACAACTAGTACTGAATATAGGTGTATAAGTCAAGTAACAATTATGGGGAATTGCTTTTTTATCATTACAAAATGGAGTTTGATTTGAAAGAATTTCTCTGATTGTTTCTCATATGAAATTATCCAAAACAGTGAACAGCTGGTCAGACAAAGTCTGATTTTAAGGTAGGACTCTCAATTACAAAAAAAGCTCGACTTCTGTCTTGCATGGAACCAGCAGTAATGTTTTATCTTTTTACCATCCTTGCATACATCTCTAACCTAGTAATCAAGTTTGAGGGCATAAATAAGTTTTACCATTAACCTGCTGGAACTAGAAGGGAGTCATTGCCATTAGTATACAGCCAAGCCAGTTTGACCAGGTTCTATACTTGTGGTAGCTCTTATTTTTTCTTAGTAATTTTCATATAATTTATAGCGGTCTATTCCATTTTATTCCTAATTGAAAGCTGGGCAAATTAATTTCACCAGTTTACAAGTTTAGCAGTTACAAATAAAGACATGCCTATGTCAGCAGTATGGAGGTACACCAGCATGAACATAATACAAACAATATTAACCAAGGCCAGTCTGGACACCATGACAGCTGGACATCATGACAGCAGGATGGATGGACAAGGGAAACAACCTAAAAACAATTAAGAACATACAGACAAAATTAAAACTCTAGTTATCTTACCGTATCATTATCTTGCTGTGTTAGATCTGTCAGTTCCTTCACCATGTGAAGATTCCAGAAGAATCGTCTATCACATCTCTGCCACAGTTGCAGGGTACTATCGTAACTTGACGAGGACTGACGCTGTATTGTATTGGTCAGATCATGTGTCTTACAGTAATAGAAAGTGTTACTTTCATTGTACATCTTGATCAGCTCCTGATAAACAAATAAATTGCTTTAACATGTGTAATTTCAGTACCACCAATGTTCAATAAGCTAGATGGATACTACCTCACATGAAAGAATCTTAAGTCCCTGGTGGGATTTGCACCCACAGCAGTTAGGGGCAAGTGGTTTGAAGTCAACAAACTTTACCACTCGGCCATGGACACCCCTCTACTTTAATTATATGACAAATGTTAATCTATCACCCGTGCCTAAACATGCAATGATTAATTTTCATATTCAAACTTTGAGCACAAATGGACCTTACACATCTTAAGTAATACACTTGGTATTCATAATCCCTTAATATATAATGCATTATTCATACAGTTATTACTTCATCATTTAGATTTCTTATGAGTCATGTAATATTATATATAGAATTATTTGTTTGGTCGGGTTTTATGTCCATCAATACAGTATAGGTCATATGGGGACTTTCCAGATCTGATGTTCTTGAGGTGAAAGACCTCAGGTTCCCCTCATTGCATTATTTCATTTATAAACAGGTACCTAAGTAGAACCACCAACATTTCATAAGCTAGTTGGATAGCTTCCTCACATGAAAGAATCCATAGTCACTGTCGGGATTCAACCCCACAGCAGAGAAAGGCAAGTGGTTTGAAGTCAATAACTTAACCACTTGGCCATGGACACCCCTAGAATTATTTGTATCAATTACATACTTTACCATAAGATTGTTTAATTTGTAAAATGGACATATTCAGATTTGAATTCAGAACTGTCCATTGTAAGTAAAGGGAGGTTTTGATACAAAAATGATCAAATTATCTCTAAGCCTTGCTTGCCACAACAGAAGCTATCCAAACAACCAGTGCAGATCAATGTCTGATCACGGTCTGCACTGTTCATTATTCAGTCAGTACATATTTTGAAATTTTCCATGAAAATGATGAATGGTTTTGTCCAGATCAAAAGACGGACAAGTTCATCTGAATCATTTACTTCAAAAAAACTAAAGAGTTAACATTATGTGGTCATGGATAAGTAAGTTGAAAAAATAATCCTAGAGGAATATTTCAGGTATGAGAAGCAGACTTCTCCTTAAATTTTTGGGAAAACTAACAGTGTTTCTGCAAAAAGAGAAGGAAAAATAACATAAACCGAATTTTAGAGGAAAACTGCATGATTTGAAAGAGATTCCCTAAGGCAGACTCTTATAAACAGCCCCTGCTATAGAAGGGAATGGTTTTTGAATGTCATTTGACATTTGTACTATTCTCTAAACTCTAAAATATAGAACTCATAAATGTATAATGTAACTGGTTATGTGTATACAAATTTGAAATTAATTCAAAAACAAAAACTATGAACTACAAAAAACAATATGATTAGATTATATTTCCCTGATTATTTGCAGCATAAAATACAGTGTTGTTTCAGAAACGGAATATTTAAACCAGAATGGCGTATATGATATATATAGCATTCATGACCTTTCCAAGAGAATTTTAACAACTATTTAATGATGTATTTTAATTTGTTAATTGAATTTAAATGCCACCTCAAAATAAGAAAATAATTTGTAATAGAACTAACATGAACTTGTGCTACCATAAAAGCTGCATAAAATTGTTAAAGTTTCTCTAGCAAAGGAATGCAAATGTTGCTAGTCATGTTCAATAAAGTACTGTTGTTTGACATCCACTGTTAACCTTGGTATTTTTTTTTTTCGACACTTACATTATTGTATTTAGTCCTAATCAATCACATTTTATGTTATACAAAAAATAAAACAAGTAATAATCATAAACAGCTATTCATAAACTGAACTAAACAGAAAAGGGCTATGGTTCATATGAACACATCTGTGGATGTTTCAAAATTCAAAATTTTACCAGTTCATGTTAATAAATGTTGAATCCTGCTTTAGCAGATGCAAGGGGACGTGGACAGTAACTTGTAATTACCACTTCCATCCATTGTCAATTAAACTAAGCCTGCAACATTTCAATTTTGATGTGTTGGGCTTTCTTTAGGGACTCTCTTTTTCTTTATTTTAGTAGTTTTGGTGTCTGCCTCTAAATCCAGTTCAAATATTTGAGGAATCAAAAACTTGTCTTTTATATTTCTTCTAGTGTAAGCTATAGAGTACAGATGATAGATTACCAATGCTCAATAGATTGTAATCGTCTCTTTAAAAGAAGATCAAGCCTCAGTAAGAAAAACTGTTAGTCTCATTAACAACACCAATGCCGCCAGCATAGAACATGTCTAAGCTTTACATGTGTAGTCTGTCAAATCTGAGTAGTCTCCGACTGAAAATTTGAGCCATGTCATGAAAAAACCAACATAATGCATTTGCGACCAGCATGGATCCTGACCAGCCTGCGCATCTGCGCAGTCTGATCAGGATCCATGTTGTTCGCTATCGGTTTCTCTACTTGTTATAGAGTTTGTAAGCGAACAGCATGGCTCCTGATCAGACTGCACGGATTCGCAGGCTGGTCTGGATCCATGCTGGTCGCAAACCCATTATGTTGGTTTTGTCATGACACGGCTCAAATCTCTTTAATGGACTTCAGGAACAGGCTGAGGAGTGTTCTCACAATCTCAAACGAATGTTGAAATAAATACTTTAAAATATTAGTGGCTTCAAGACAAATCCTATTTCATCAATTCACCCCACAAACTACCTAAAATTGACTCATCAATCTTCCAATCTGTACAAAATCATTCATCGTCTTAGTGAATAGCAACCAGTGCAGACCATGATCAGGCAGGTACAGATATGTCAACTTATCTTGGTCTGCACTGGTTTGCATGGATAAAATCTGCTGCCGTCTGCAGGTTGAAGTTTAATAATTACATCAATATATCTAATTAAATACCTCTAATATTCGTCTCTCAAACTTTTCTTTGTCTTTGACCACTTTCTGAAATGACATAGACACTTGAATCTACAATTATTATATATTTACAGTAATAAGAAAGATACAGGAATCTATAATAGTAATATATTGACAGTAATGAGTTTGTATTCATTCCCACCCCTAGGTCTCTGTGGTATATAAATCAATCACTACTTGGTGAAAAAAATGTATAAAAGTTGTTATTTATACCTCCATAAATCATCACTTGTTGGAATATTTATGAATAAAAAAAATTGCATTTCTATTTCTATGCTGTCAGCATTATATGATATATGTATGGAAGTCAACATGTATTAGATGGAACAACACCTTTATTTTCCACTAGAACTACTATTTAAAATTTGGACAAATTTTTTCACATTTAACTCAGCACTCACAAACAGTCTATGAAAACAAAAAGTGCACACTTTCACATGTTTGTCAAACTTTAAAAAAGCATTCATTGTAAAAATATAACATAGGTGTAGAAACACTAAGACTGAGTGAGTTGTTGAGGTCTCTGACATGACACCACTTGTGAGTTTTACAGGGCTTTTAAATCTTGCTGAAGGTCAGTGGTTTAACAAAGGTGTCTACCATTGACTGAAACATTATAGAGGGGGAGGATCTCTCATATCTTCACCTTAGTGCAGTACTGGATTAACTCTAATGTAATTTAATAGGAGTTAACCCGTTACTGCACTAAGGTGACAATATGTTCCTGACAGTAAAAGCTCAATCACAAATATATCAAGGATTTGACTTTCATTATACAATATAACTTGATAACTGCTAATGGATGGATAAATGACCATTTGTGGCCAAACATGTAACATCTAAGCTTGTTAAATTGGTAAAAAAAAAGTTTTAGTGCAGTTTGTAAGGAACTTTTTTCTCATCTGATACGAGTCATTGGAATAAGTTAAAAGATACAGAGGATTAATTAACCTTCTTAGGTTTTACATTCTCAGCAGCAGATTTGATCGTGTTCCAAGTCTTCTGGAGTGACTTCCCTTGACCGTCGGCATTTTGTGTGATACGATCTGTCTGACGAATTCCAAAGTGATGCATCTTACAAAGCTACAAAATATAACATAATAACTGATTACAAAGCTACAAAATATAACATAATACCTGATTACAAAGCTACAAAATATAACATAATAACTGATTATAGAGCACATAATTTAGTTTATACAATTTTTTTTTTTTTTTTTTTTTTTTTTTTTTTTTTGGGGGGGGGGGTTTGGTGTTTACGTCACATTGACACAGTATAGGTCATATCGCGACGTTCCAGCTTTACTGGTGGAGGAAGATCTCAGGTGCCATTCCGTGCATTATTTCAGGCACGAACGGGCACCTGAGTAGAACCACCGACGTTCCGTAAGCCAGCTGGATAGCTTCCTAAGCGGTGAGGGGCAAGTGATTTGAAGTCAACAACCTTAACCACTCCCGCAATGGACGCTCCCCCCCCCCCCTCCCCCCTCCAAATTTTTTTTAGTTTGATTTTGTTGGAAGCTATAAGCTTATTAAAACACTCTCAAATCCATTCCTGGAACCAACCAGTATTAAGCAATGAATGTAAAGTTTTGTGCTCAAGGAAACAACAGCTTGCCTTTATAATAATAATAATAATAATAATAATAAAGTCTTTATTTAAAGAGGCTACACAGTTGCAACAAAGGCAATCTACCCTGTGGGCCTCATAAAATGTACATATTTACAATCATATAGTTGTGAATAACATGAAATATTTTGCAGAAACATTAACATAATTATTTTGATATTGCAATAGAAAATGACAAACAATTATATAATAATATAAAGTGCACAAAAAATATACAGTGAAACAAGGCATTTCAAAATTACAAATAAACCTTTGACAATACAATGTAACAATATTTCAACAAGAGCAGTGTTTTTCTTACAATTTTATATTTCATTTGTCTTTTTCCAATTTTCTATGTATTTATGTTTGAAGTTTTGAAGTGATTGTGCAGAGCGTATGCTGATTGGTATTTCATTCCAGATTTTTGACCCTGAATAGTTAAAACTTTTTCTGAAAAATTCTACTTTTGGTTTTGGTTGGTATATGTTAAGTTTTGAATCTGTTGAACGTAGGGTGCGAGAATGAATAGTATGATTGAATGTAAATTTTTGTTTTAAGTACTCGGGGCAAATATTGTTAATTGATTTATATACCATAATTGCTTGTTTATATTTGACTCGGTCTGGGAATTTCATCCAGTTTAATAAAATGAATAGATCTTCAGCCGGGGCATCATATGGTTGATCTAGTATAATCCTAGCTGCTCGTTTTTGGAATCGAACTATGGATTGTATTTGCTCCAAATTACAATTTCCCCAGATAGAGCAACAATAGTCTAAGTGAGGTAGTATGTAGGAGTTAAAAAATAGTTTTCTAATGGGAATGTCTATGAAATATTTAATTCTTTGCAGTAGGTACAATTTGGAATTGCACTTTTTTAACACATGATTAATATGGTTTTTCCAGTTTAATTTGCTGTCAACTTGGACACCGAGAAGTTTCTCAGAGTTGGAACATTCTATTAAATTATTGTCTAAATGTAGCATGTTTAATAATTTGGAGTCTGTTTTGTTTGATGGACAAATTGCCATTGCCTTTGATTTCTTTGCATTTAGTGACATAGAGTTCATTTGACACCAAAAATTTACATTATCTAATGCAGTTTGTAATTTAGTTTGTACTTCCAGATAAGTTGTTCCAACTGCAGAGATAGTTGTATCATCAGCAAATATATCTGTAAAAATTTCTTTTAGCTCCTTCGGAAGATCATTAATATATATTAGAAATAAAAGTGGACCAAGTACAGATCCTTGGGGAACTCCTGATTTAATATGTCCTGGTTCTGATAGTTTCCCAGATATAGATACCTTTTGAAGCCTATCCTGTAGGTAGGACTTAAACCACAGTATTGTTTTATTGCTAATATTAAGTGTTTGTAGTTTTTGAATAAGAATAGAGTGATCTACTAGGTCGAACGCCTTTGAAAGGTCGAGAAACAGTGTTCCAACAACTTTTCCATCATTAATAGCATTTATCCACCTATCTACTATTGAAAGTAAGGCAGTTTCACAGGAGTGATCTTTTCTAAAGCCAGACTGATAGTTATAGACTAAGTTGTTAGATTCTAGAAAGTCTTTGAGGTTATTAGAGACATGGCGTTCAATGATTTTGGTTAGTATTGGAAGGATTGAGATTGGTCTGTAGTTGCATTTGTCACTTTTAGAACCTTTTTTAAATATAGGTGTAACTTTTGCAATCTTAAATTGGTTTGGAAATATATCATTAGAAATGCTTAAGTTCATAATATATGTAATTGAATTCGCTATGATGTCAGCTGACATTTTTAGGTATTTAGGCCCAAGTCCGTCCAGACCTGTAGACTTGCTTTCATCAAGATTTAGTAACTCTTTTTGAACAAACTCTTTAGTTAGAAGTGGTATTTCAAATTTAGAAGAAAAGTTTGAATTTTCTTGGCTGTCATTAATTTCTGGGAGTGTGTGTTGCATACACTGAAATATGTTAATAAAATAGTCATTAAAAGTATTAGCTGTTTGGACTGGATCTGAAATAGGGTTGCCTTGATCGTCATTGATGAAATTAGTTGGATGTATTACAGATGTACCTGATAAATCTTTAAGATTTTTCCATAGGGTTTTTGGATCATTTTTCCTATTGTTATTTATTTTTTCTGTAAAAAAAGATTTTTTTGATGTTTTGATAAGTGCCTGTACGAAAAAGTCTGGGCAGAATGCAGACAGAATCTGTACAGACTTTATTTAGAAAACTCTGTACAGAGTCTGTACAGAAAAAAATCTGGTCAAATGATACAAAGTTGAACCAGAATTCTATTAATAGATTTTAGCAATAAGGATAAAGAACGAAATCTGTACAGATTTTTTCTGAAATATTTAAATTAAGCCGATTATTTTCTGGGCAGAAAAAAATCTGGGCAGAAAAAAAAAATCTGGGCAGAAAAAAAATCTGGGCAGAAAAAAATCTGGGCTTCTTCATATTCTGTACAGAATTAACCCTGTCCATAGGAAATATCTGAAAGGGAATTCTGCACAGAAAAAAATCTGTACAGAAAATATTCTGTACAGATTTTCGTTTTTTTGGCTAAAAACAAAATCAATTTTCCTTTTGAACATTTCTCATTTATTAATTTTAATTAACAATTTTTATTCATTTCTTTCCTGGAGTAGTCTATCCAATGAGTAATAGCCTTGTTGAGGGCGCTGTCATCAGGAATTGGCTTGTCTCTGTCTTTGCACCACACATCCTGACATAATCTAGAGTAAAAAAAAAGGAATTTTAATTATGTTCATTCTATTATTAAATGATATACAAAATTTGTAAAATATTTCAATGTGTATACAAAACAGTTAAAATTGTATCCCTATATACCTTAAGTTTTTTTGCACCAAGTAACAACAAAGTCACTGACTAATAAAACTGTTTACATATATCATCCCTGACCATATATCATCCCTGACCAACGCTTGTGTTGCTTGTGTTACAAATCTACACAGTCATGTAAATTGCAACATAACTTAAAATAGGAGAGATTTACAAGTGGCCAATATTCTAAAAATAGAATTGCTGATAAGCACTGACCATAGCAACCGTTGCTGGTCATACATTCTACACAATTTCCGGGAGTTTTGAATTGATTAATTTAAACTAAATGAATTGAATTATAGAATAGCAAAACAAAAAGCTAAACTATTTATTGCATAATAGAGCAAGAAATTAAAAAAAAATAGATCTTGACCTATCAACTGATCAAAAAGCAATTTATGAACTAATAATTTCACTGGCCCAGCTTTGACTTCAGTGCATTAATTTTATACTCATTAGACCATAGTGGTCTTTCTCAAATCAGAGTAAATTTAACTAATATAGATAATTCATAGACTATTAAAAGATGTATAAATAATTTCTTTTATTTACAGTGGAAGGTATAACCAAATAATTCAAAGAAAAATTCAAAGAAAACATTGCAAAATCTTACCTCTGGTTTTGATTATAATTCCATCATAATTCCTCTTTGGCCCCTAAATCTGAGAATTTCAAGTCTCTACATGATTGCTCTTCACAACAACTAACTTGTTAACTTATCATTAGAAAAATAAACTAAACAAAACATATTAATCTTTGCCAATGTGAAGACACTTTGTGTAATAAAACCTCGTGTGGCAGCCTGAGAGATTTGAATTGACCAACAGGGGTTACATGGGGGTTACACCTGATATTACAGAATATCTATCTACTACTCTGAGATTAACTCAGAGTGAAATTCTGGCTAGAAAAGTAAATTCTGTCTCAAGATTCATCTAAGTGTTAAAATTCTGTGTGTCTATGTAAATTCTGCCTCATTTTTTTTCCAAGTATTGAAATTCTGTCTTGTAAAAATATCTAAGAGCAAAATATCTGTGTGAAAATTTTTCTGTACAGAAAAATTTTTGATTCTGTTTTATTCTGCACAGAAAATCACCTATTTCCTAGGCCGATTCTGTGTCCAATTCTGTGTCGGTGTCAACTCTGTACAGAAAAATGAAAATCTGCCTCTATAACAACCAGAGTTGGTACAGAGTCTGTACAGAATTGGCTCAGAATTTTCGTACAGGTGCCTTTACTTTATTTCTCCAGATCTTGTACTGTTCAAAGTTACCTTTACTTTTAAAATAATCTCTTTGATTTATTGCATATTTTACATCTGTAGTTAACCAGTCTGGTTGACTTGTATGTTTTACACGTTTAGTTTTTAGTGGAGCATGTTGATTAAGTGTATTTAAAAATAAGTTAGAAAAATAGTCTAGTGCATCATTTGGATCATCGTATATTTGCAAGGTGCTCCAAGGTTGACATTTTAATTGTTGTAAAAATTCTCCTTGGTTAAACTTCTTTGTATTTCTATAAGAGATTGTTTTATGCATTGGTCCATCAGAACTTTTAGATGTTTTTCTTGTTATACATACTGGTAAGTGATCACTTAGGGATATGTTGGGGATAGTAATTTTCTTTATGTTACATGGAATATTTGTATACATATGATCAATAATTGTTGATGATGTTTGAGTAATTCTAGTTGGATGTTCAACCATTTGGCAAAGATTGTAACTGTCATTTAGTTTTAACCAGTTTGATTTCAATGAATTTTCAGTTTTAAAATCAATATTAAAGTCTCCCATTATCAACAGTTCCTTGTCTTCACAAATTAATTTTTCCAGGGTATCTTCATACATAGAGTTCCAAGATGACAGGGATGATGGTGGTCTATACACATATCCAAGAATAAATGGTTTTTGATTAAATGGTTTAATTTCCAGTAAAATGATTTCCATATTGGTGTTTTCCAGATCTTCACGCCTAATACAAGGGTAGTTTTCTTTCACAAATACCACAATACCTCCACCATTTGATTGTCGATCTCTCCGAAAGAACTGGTAGCCATTTATTTTGAATTCTTCGTCACTAAAACTTTCATTTAAAAATGTTTCACAGATGCCAAAAATATCAATTTCTTTGTGTTCATGTAAAAGTATCTTGATTTCATCGAATTTAGGAAACAAATAATGAATGTTAAGATGCATGAGTTTTAATCCTTTTTTAAGGAACCAATGATTATGTGGATTTGTAATCGAGAAGTTATCATGTTTTGACTGATCTTTGTAATTTAAACTTGGTGAGGTGGCACTGATGGAGGAAATAGATACATCCAAGGTGACATTGGTGGGAATTGATTCCAGATTCTTAACGAGTGGGGTGTTGGTGGCAATATCTGCATTTGATGGTTGTAAAACATCTGTTGATGTGGTGGCCTTTGACAGGGTTTGAACCCACGCAGTCACCAATCCTTAGATAACTTATTCTCTACCACACCACCACTCTTTATTTGATAACATGCCTTTCAGTAAATCACCGAAATGTCACAGTGAAATATATTTTGATAATTTCACTAAATCATTACTATACCTACTTATATTTAAAAAGCATGAATCATTAATAAACAGATCTTTCTGCAGTAATACAATGTACTCTTAATTGCAAAGTTAATTAATTGTATATGTTTTCTGGAAGCACATACAAATTTACACACTTAATTTTAAATTGTACATGTGACTTTTTTTCTTCAACATTTACATTATAGCATTCCTGAAAGAGAGTTGTTAACGTTATTTAGGGCAAAATAACAACAACAAAAACTGAAAAAATGAAATAAAATAAAAAATTCTTCCTGTTACATGTACATGTAAAATTAAATTATATTTCACTTGTAAACATTTTACTTGTAGCTTTACAACTCACTAAAAGCACCTGGTGTTCACTCTGTCAAACAAACTATTAAAAAAAATTGTGTGATTTTTATTTTGGCAATCACAATGGTCCAAGTGAATATATTTTTCTTCGGTGGACTAACCCCCAAGATATGACCAAAAATGTGTTGCATTTCGCCTAAAAAACGCCTAAAAATACAGACAAATAAACACCTTAAATCATTGGAAAAAAACCTTCCTATTTCTGTTATTTCTGAGTATTATTTTCTGCTACTCAAAAAGAGATTGTTATCTTTCTTTTTTATTCTGATAATTCAGCGTAATTTGTTTTCCTTTCTTGACATTTTTATAACACTGCATGAAAATGGAAGTGTATTTGTTTCCAAATAAGAGTTTCAGTTTTTTTATTGTGTCACTTTTAATGAAAGCATCATACAAATAATCTAGTCGTGTGGGAATTCAAGAGAAATAATGATTCCAACAGAGATAATAAGGTGGTAAAATTATTTCCCAAATAATCAAATAAAACCAATTGTTTACATGAAATGTTATATAAGCATGCTTTTCAAGGTTGGAAATTAAGCAATTAAATAGAAATTTCTGAGTGCAAAAAAATGTTAAAATCAGTATGCAGAGTTCTTTTAATAAAATCTTGTTTTCTCAAATTCTTTTGATGCAAGATGGCATATACATTGTATTTTAATTTGGCCATACTACATTAAGGTCCGACCAATTTTTACCAAGTAAACATATGACCAAATTTCATTTCTTAAATACTAAATGAATCAACAAGTTGTGCATGTATTGTTATTCTGAAAATAATTAATTTTATAAAAATTTCCTTAGTTTGTAACCTCTTTTGAGTTCACTTGCTGTGTAGTTAGAAATAAGAATGGAAACAGCATGGACCATCACCAAGGTGATTGTGACCTTGACCTCTGATCTTCTGACCCCAAAAACAATACAGGCCTTTAACTTATATAAATACAACTACCACACAAAGTTTAAAGCCTTCAAGTCAAATGCTGTTAGTTGAGAACAGTTCTAGATAACCATGACATTTGACCTACTGACCCCAAATACAACATCTGTAAAATAATGTACTTTTTCTTAATAGATGGGGCAACATAATTAGGACAAACATACATATATATGACCTCTAGAGTGTAAACAATCTAAAATTTTAACTACATGTATACAGCACAATGCATGGTGGTTTGAAGGTCAAATGTCAAGGTTACTTAGTGATTTGTAGGTCAAATGTCAAGGTTACTCTGACTTTTGGCAATTGTTCTCAACTTGTAGCATTTTACACTGTCCCAAGACAAACCTGAAAATCTCACAGACATGCTAAACTCTTTAAAGTATGTTGTTCATCATTTTCTTTTCTATTAAAGTTGAAAATGTGTCTCCACAGGGCTATCAGTTCATATAATACCATCATGAATCATGCTAATATCTTATATTATTGTTGACAGACTGGTAATAAACTGTCTATAAACTTACAATATACTCTCTGATAGAGCATGTGTCAGTCTAAAACTTAATGTCTATCATTTTATTTATCTCTTTATGTCAATTCTACTCATATTTATACAGTCTTAAATGAATTCTGAAAATGCTTAATGTTTCTTCAGACAGCTTTTGCACTCAAATAATCATTCTGCTTAAGTCGTAGTGTTTTTGATATGGGGTATGAACAATGACACATTTCGTACAATATTTAAGGTTGAAAGCTACATGTTTTATTAATGAATGTGTTATATATTAAACAAAATCTTTTTCCATGTATAGCTAAAAGAATACAGATACAATCTGAAACATGTAGCAGTAGTACAGTTGTTGAATTTTTATAGTATATTTTACAAGTTTACCTAAGTATAAACCTTTTAAGATGGTAAAACAATTAAGGAGTACAAGTGGAACAAAGGTCAAGGAGTGCGTGACACTTCATCGTCAAACTTACATCAAGATCAACCTCGGCAGGTTCCGTGTCTGATAATGACAGGACAGTGATCTTGTTAATCTGAAATACATCATGTTCACCTTCCAGCTTGCCAACACATGTCTGTTTGCTGATCAACAATAACTTCCACTCAGACTCTGCAAAATTTAAGAACAATGGTCAAACGTGCATGATTTATAATAAAAACAAGGAACATCGCAATGCGATGCAACCAGGTTTTCAGCAAAATATTTCACAGAAGCTTTGTCATGAAGGGGCATTTGTTTTTAATTGAACTTTTAGGAGGAATTATGGCTTTTTTAATATTCCTCAAACAAAAATGATTGAGAAATTTTATGTTGTCTATTCGCCTTTTTTTCCCGAATGTTTTAGAAAGGTAAACAGTACTTTATTTTTGCTTAATTTTTGCATTTTTGCGTCTCTTGTCATTTTCTTTTGTCAACAATATTGGCGTGTGGTGTTTTGTGCGATATCAAGAAAAGTATGTTCACAATTTTAAAAAAATACTTGAATGATGTCTTGGAAGAAACATGGGAATTTAGTGAGCGCCAGGGCACTTGATGACAAAGCTTCTGTGAAAGTTTGGTAAAAATCCATTGAGAAATGTAGGAGAAGTTGCGCACTGTAGAAATTGTTCACTATATATTCTGTATAAGGAAAAAATATACAAAGGGCCATAATTCGGTCAAATATTATCCAATCACAAAACCCCGACAATATGTGCCAGGCACTTGAAAACAAAGCTTCTAAGAAAGTTTGGTCAAAATCCGTTGAGAAATGTAGGAGGAGTTGAGCACAGAAGAAATTGTTCTCTATATATTCTGTATAAGGAAAAAATATACAAAGGGCCATAATTCGGTCAAATATTATCCAATCACAAAACCCCGACAATATGTGTCAGGCACTTGATAACAAAGCTTCTAAGAAAGTTTGGTCAAAATCCGTTGAGAAATGTAGGAGGAGTTGCGCACAGAAGAAATTGTTCACTATATATTCTATATAAGGAAAAAAAACAAAGGGCCATAATTAGGTCAAATATATACCAATTGCAAAACCCTGGCAATATGTGTCAGGGCACTTGATGACAAAGCTTCTGAGAAAGTTTGGTCAAAATCCGTTGAGAAATGTAGGAGGAGTTGCGCACAGAATAAATTGTTCACTATATATTTTATATAAGGAAAAAAAAACAAAGGGCCATAATTAGGTCAAATATTATATAATCGCAAAACCCCGACAATATGCGCCAGGGCACTTGATGACAAAGCTTCTGTGAAAGTTTGGTCAAAATCCGTTGAGAAATGTAGGAGGAGTTGCGCACAGAAGAAATTGTTTACGCCCGCCCGCCCGCCCGTCCGCCCGCCCGCCCGACCGCCCGCCCGCCGACATACCTCAATCTAATAACCAGTTTTTTCCTTCGGAAAACCTGGTTAAAAAATAAAATGGTTAATTTTTTTAAAACATAAATGTAGTCAAAACAGAGAATTTTCAAATATTCACATTATCTTTAAAGTTCTGTGTCTTTCAATCAAATAATATTTACCAATTTCATGAATTAAAAAAAAAACTTTGAATCTCTTGTTGCTTTAGGACAAATTTATTTTAGTTGGAGATACCAGATTGAAAAGTGTGTAGGGGGTGTAAATTATTCAAGGCCAATTTGTAGGGACATACCTAATATGTAATTATATAAAATATCACACAAACGTGACAATGAGAGCATCATTTAGAGAATATATATTTTACAGCAGACCTGTGTGGTGGCAGTCAAAAATGTCACCCAGTATTTCATTTTGATTTTCATATCATTCTGTATTTTTGTGTCATTTTGGATACTTCAAGTTCTTTACAATGTAAAGAGGGTATGTGAGATGTTACATAACAAATTGTCATTCTGACCAATGCAAAAAAGTTTGTAGATACCTTTTTTGTGGTGCATAGGTGTACAAATCAAGTTTACTAAAATCATAGTTTTCAATGAATCTTTTTCATATTTTAATTTTATTTGGGTTTTAAGTAACATCAACACTGTACATGTCTCATGGCAACTTTCCAGTTCCTACAGGTTTAAAAAGACCTCAAATGTGCAGCTCAGCCCATGCATACATTATTCAGGTACAAGCAATTACCTGAGTAGAACTACTGATCTTATATAAGCTAACTGGATAGCTTCCTCACATTAAAGAATCCCAACCGACATTGAAATTACATCCATGAGTGGTAAAAGTGAGTTATTTGAAGTCAATGATCTTGACCACTACAGAGACCCACAATCTTATCAAGTTAGGACATTCGATCATTAGAATATTTATGCTGAAAGTCAATGTATTAATTATTTACATCTTCACAGAACATTACATTAAACAACAGCAAGAATTCAACACATTATTAAAATCTGCTGTTTTTTTTCCATTCTTCAAGAAAGTTTCTATAAAAATAGTAATATTTAGCCTGAGATAACAACCAGTACAAAAATAGGTACACTTTTGTAACTGGAATTTGATTGATAAATTCAATCTTATGAACAAAAGTAAACACAAATTCCAGCCAAAAATAGTCTCAGAGTTTGTTTTAGAATTATCACATTTCTTTACGAGCTTTTCCTTAACTTAAGCAACATGTTGTCACTGAGTTGCGGAATCTCAATACCAACTAAAATGTGAAATCACATGTCATGCCCTATCCATCAATTGTACTGATATTTCTAGAACTTAACCTCCTGTAATTCAAAGAAAGGCATTCAAACTCTCATAAAGTTAATCTGTTTAGCATGGAAAGCAGGAATAGTAAAGTAAGTTAAATTGTTCCAAGGAAACTGTAATGAAACATAAAAGACAGTCTGGAACAATATTCTTGTATCTGTTAGGTTTAACTTAAGGTTACATGCCACTAAATGTATATGCTACTTAAAACACATTTAAGACAGCCAAGGCAATTCTCCAAGAAAAAGTCTATAGGAGGGATTTACAGACAAGGATTTTTCTAAAAATAGATTCACTGTATATTTCTATGGCAGTTCTTAGTGAATTATCACATTACTGGTATATTCTACTGGCATTACCACTTTTGCAGCTACACTTTAATATTTTATTCTACGCTAATGAGTGAAATACTGGGTTTCAGCTGAGAAATAAAATAAATATCACTCACAGTATATCACTCACAATGAAAGAATATCACTCACAGAATATCACATACAGTGTGAGTAATATCACTGAAAGTGTGAGTATATCACTCACAGTATATCGCTCACAGTGTGTGTATATCACTCACAGTATATCACTCACAGTGTATATATGATGTAGCTATGCCTAACTTCTAGTTTGATTCTGTTGTACAATTATGTAAAAAGCAATTACTGCATTTTGTTCTCTATGGCATATTTTTCTATTCAATTACAATTAATTCACTCAAATAGTTAAAAGTTATGCTGCAAAGATGACTACAAAATTGTATCATTTATTTTAAGCAGCACTGGAATAGCCATTGAAAATCAGATCTGATGTTCTCTTCTGCCTGTTCAGCGGCAGATTTGAAAAGCTATGTATATTAGAGAAATATTTGCACAAATTTTGTAAAAATGAATATTCGAATATATTTGAACATGGAAAACAATTATTCAAACATCAAATTCCTTATTCCTTTCTGGCTCTGTTATATAACAGATATCATCACCTTTAAGTGCAGTAACAGGTTAACTCCTTTTATTATTTAATAGAGTTACTGCACTGAACGTGATATGTATTTTTATAGTTGCTGAATATGATATAATATGTAATGAAAAAAATAGTATTGCCCTAGTCTATATGTGCATTGTAATATGCACCAATACTTCGTTAACTAGCATAACATTTTGAAATATTCTGCTATATTTTGTATACAGCCCAATAAAAGTCTTATTCCAGCATCTCAATATATTGTAACATTGTTGCTTTGCCTTCACAATACCCACCACAATAAAATAAACAAATAAATGTTCATCCAGACTTTATGTGTTATTAATCAAACTATAAAATCATGTTATAATGTGTCTGCATCAATGAATCAGAACTACTAGAGAAGAATGAGGAATGATGTAACAATACAATCTGTCAAAATCTGTGGCAGAAATCTCCAAAATCCCAACATTTCACTTAGATAAATGATTCTCTTCCAGTTATCATATTGATCAAAGGGTATATAGATCAACTTGAACAGTACAAGACAAATTCTAACAATCATGATTCCTTATTGACCAAAAATGGGTAAACTTGAAGTTTATCTTCTGATTACAATGACTAAATAAATAAGAAAAAGATTTTCTTACCACGGAAAATATTTCATGTGTTTATGTGTTTTGTTATGTTTCTGTTGTAAATCGTGTGTGCAAGCAGTTTTTTGGCATCGATAAATAAAATAAATCTAATTATTTGTTATACTACTGATAATTATATTGTTGTATTTGAATAATGGACTGATACATGTACAATATAATATACAAAAATTAAGTTTAAACATTGCCACCAACACTGGTGGAATTGGGGAAAAAAGCATTGTAAAAAGTCTTAATTGGGAATTTTAGACGAACAAAATAATAGGATAAAACTCTGTCAATGGCATTAGTATTTTCTTGTATGGGTAATTCTACAGGATTCACTTTGGTTCAAAGAATTTTATCAGCAACAACAACAATGAAGATTGACAATTAGGAATCTTTTGCTTTTAAGTTGGGGTAAAAAACATACTTTTTGGCATTGGTTATACCTCTGTTTACGATTAGTTTCTATTATGTATGGAAGAAAGCACTCGCTGATTGGCTTGGAAAAAAACAGCACAATTTGCCAAGTTATGGACAAAACACAGCAAGTCCATTAAACAAAATTCACCAGTACAAGGTTAAAGACATAACTATGTCAGCTTAAAGGAATAACACAGATGGACTTAACACTCATGTAATATTCATAACAAGGGAATTATCATTGCACAATGAAAATAATATCCTTAGAATGCTACATGACTAGAATGCCCATGAGAGGACAAAAGGTTGTTTTCAGTTACCATTTCATTTACTGTAAAATTCCTAATAAACTCCCCTCCCTTAATAAAGCCCCCCCCCCCCTCACCATAGGCTTTTTGATATGGAAAAAAAATCTACTCATCA